GTTCGCATTAGCAAATCAAGACCTTCACCGCCTTAACTAGAAAAAAATACACATTGAAGAGATGTTATTTTTTATGAACAAATACACTTAGTGGATTGTAAATGTTGAAGGTGGCAACAATTGTGGTTTTCGATCTTTTTCGACTTTTCTCTGTAAAGGAGATGACGACTACAAATTTGTCTGACATCATCTTATAGAAGAAATGAAATGAGTTTGGTGGCTCTAGAGATGCATCTTCGAACACGTCTTTTACTTATAAAAAAATACATGAGACTTTACGAATGTACATCTTTGTAACTCCTCTTATTTCTGGGGGAAAAACGGTGTATTCGGTGATGCATCTTTGAACGCACCTTTAAATTACTCAAAAAACGAAATAGGAGACCATAGGGATGTGCATCTCCATAAAGCCTCCTGATGATATGATATGGTTCGTAAGGTCCTTATTGATCTACAACTTCTATAAATAGGGACTCTCATTCCAATTTCTTCACACAAACCAAAATGAATACATATTCCTATTTTGCATTTGTATATTTCAAAGGCGTAAAATCCCCCTTAAATTTTGAGTCTTTGAGGACATACTTCTCGTCGATCTGAAATCCAAACTAAATATTCTTCTATGATATCCAAAAAATCAGAGAGTTGTCAAGCTCGGGTACCGTTCATCCTCGATTGACAACAAACGGAAGATATGTTTCACCCTTCTTGAATTGAAGACAACTGGTGATTTAAAGGTTATGTGAAATACCTTTTACCCTTACTCAACAAAGGGTCTAATTGAAGTGGATGCAACGATTGCAAGATCGACTGAAGATATTTTAAGGATGTTGCAACGTCCTTAACCACCAGTTTTATAATTAAATGTAATGTTAAATTTATGTTAACATTAACTTTTATCTATGTAATGTTTATTTTGGAGTTAATTTATGTTGTTGTTCTATTATGTTGCCATTGTTCCTGGTTGTTTCAGGTTTGAATTAACATGTCATATTTCGAAGATGCATTTTCAGAAAACTCGCTAAATATTCAACTAAGGCGTGTTACAAAGATGTTTATCCGGATTAACATTTTATGAATACAGAGATACATCTTCAAAATAAATTTTAATAAAATAAGAATCTCTCAGTAATTTCAATGGAGGTGCGTGTGAAAAAAAGTGCTTTCAGAGATGCATCTCCGGACGCTATGGACACTTGTGACTTTTCACGATGGTAGAGGAGCATATATAAGGATGGAAAAAGAATTTCCCTTATTTTGCATTTAAATGAAGATAAAAAGACATCCCTAAATATTAAAATATTAAACTAACAATTCTTAGCACATCCATAAGAAGAAAGATTATGAAGTTGCTCAACCTTCTCTTGATAGAAAACTAACTATTGAACATCCATAATATGCATTGTTTAAAAGGGCTTGAGAATTACCTTAAATATAACATGTCATCATTAACATTTAAGGTAGAAGGATTCAATGTGAAATGTTTCTGAATCGGGACCAAACATCATAGTAAACAAGTCTTTCTTAAATGGGAGACGTGTCAGATGGAGGTGTGAGTGAGGCTGAAGAGTCCAACAAATCATCATCTATGTAACAATGGTCATTGTTGTGAGAATCTAATGGATACATTGTTGGAAGAATGCTATTTATTTTGGTAAAGAAAACCTAGAGAAGATCTCATTGTTCAAGAAATTGGAGAAAACCCTAAGTGACTATCATATGGTAAAAAAATGAGATAGATAGAATGACTTAATAAATAGGCAGTTTAATCGTTAGAATAAACCCATGAGATTCAAGTGATTATTGGAAAAATGAAGTGTATATAGCCATCCATAAACCGGGACAGGGTTAAAATAACCAATTTTCTGTTTTGATTTATGTAATGATGACACTCGTCATGCGCAACAATCATTCGTTGTGTTGTATCATCTCGATGTTCTTGTCCCAACATTGCAGAGCAAGGTCAAGCAACCGTTTGAGAACTAAAACAAAAAATGGTCGTACCAAGATCAAGGATGAGCATGTGTCCAAAGGTGATATAAAGGTAGTTTTGGATTACCATAGGGGAATGATTAACTTTTTTAGAGATTGATCCTTATCTAAATGAGTCACCCACAAGAGCATGAAGTTGATTAGGTTTAGACATTTCCTATAAGAGACGTTGAGTTTTAAGCACGGTCTTGCACCTTGAGTTGGGATTTTACTAGCAAGCACTCTGACATCCAAATTAGTTTATATTAGTGGCAAGATGTATTTACTATATAAAAAGTGTATGTACCTTTGTTTGACGTTTGTCTCTCCTTTCATATGGGGATTTTATGGTTATTGAGGGCCTAAAGCCTTCATGTTCATGATAGTTGTCTAGATGGATAAATGTTATGATATAATCCATTATGTTATCTAATATACCACATTCTATTATGTTTCCCTAACACATGTCCATGCTAATTCTCGAGGTCATAGAACACTCCTTTATTCCATAGTTGGTTAAATGGTATCTCTATTTGACGTCACTCCTTTATTCCATAGTTGTTTAATCTTTCATTAGAGAGTTGTTGTATACTCTCATGTTTTATATTTCTATGTATTGAGAAGATTTCATTTATGAGTTCGATTATGCCATTGCATATGAATTTTAAATGATTTAGTTTATGCATGCTTTATTATGTAGAATTTTAATGCGATGATACCCATAAGTGAAGGTAAGTATGCGATGGCACCCTAAATAAAGGTGTTGATTGTTGTTTTTATTTGATAAAGTGTTACAAGGCATATATGTTTTGAAAATAGAATGTGTTACATCCTATTTGATTGTGTGAATACAATAAAATATGGTGTTACAGACTACAATCTAGGGAGATTTATGCCAAAGTTGGGATGTTATGAATGCCACGTTGAAATTGCAGCTAGGTTCAATCAAAGTCTCGTTTCAAAAAAGTATTGTCAATATTGAGCATCGGTATAACACTTCATTTTATGCCAACTTGCACAGTTTGATTTCGAGACAGTGTATACAACACACTGGAAAGGAACTAGAAAGGATTAAAAAAATTGATGCAAGCCAAGATGTATGTGGTTGTTTCATTAGAACAACACACGGGTTACCGTGTGCATGTCAACTTGTTGGTTTCCAAATACAAGACAATATCATTCCTTCAAAACCAATTCATGTTTTTTTGGAAGAAATTATATATTGAAGAGCATGATGTCAGTCATGAAGAATGTGATACACAATTGGATTTAGAAGTATACTGTGAAGAGTTGAAGACATATTTTTGTACTTTGGATATTGTAGGCCAGAGGGTGTTAATGAAAAAGGGTCGGTAACTAAAACACATCCTCCACAATTTTTATGTGTCCATGGTGGAGTATAAGCCAAAGAGAAAGTTAAGAAGAGCAGAAAGAGTCAAGAGAGTGATGTGCATCGTGATCCTTCATAATGGGAGTATGGTGAGGACTCGCATGGAGTCAGACTACAAAAAGATCATGCATAAAACTAAGTGGAAGTCAACCGTCAAGATGTCAGCTAGAAGTCAATCGTCCAGCGCATCTTCGAGAGATGTTTACTTGTCTCAGTTTCATGATTTCTTACATTCATATATTGATGACATTGTTGATGTGGGTGACGATGTAAATTGTGTTTTTTGGGCTATTGCAGCTTAGATGAGCGAAGAGTCATGGCCTTTGATTCGGGTGCAGTTAGATACTCAAGTTCATCAACACCCTTAATTGTTTTTCAATCTGTTCTATGACACAATCTCTACAATTAGGAATGTGTTACGAGTAAAACAATTAGATGTGTAGGATATTGATAAATGGATGATGATTCCAGATATGGGTTACCCTATTGCTTATAGATAGTGTGTTGTATTTGTCTCAATGTCAAAGAGATTTAACATTGCATTTTTTCCTTTTGCCTTAACTCCACCTATGTATACGAGCAGACATAAAATCATTATTGTTGGTTTTGTCAACAATAATCATTAGATTCAAATAAAGTTAAAACTTGATTGTCCATTATCTCCCGTCACTTACCGTTAAAATAGACAGAATTGTATTGAAGAAGCAAAAGCATGGGAATCATCGTATGCAAAACGCATTAGACAATGAAAAGATAAAGTTAGGAAGAAATATGGATCCTCTCCTACTAAATACATTTTGCCATCTTGCTGCCCCTATCCAAATCTATTATCATAATTTATTTTATATTCTTCTATGTAGCACAGTTTTTATTATATGTATATATTTTATCAAGTAGAAATCAATTATTCCACAAAAATTAATACATGAAAAAATGAATAAAATCAAGTAGAAATCAATTATTCCACAAAAATTAATACATGAAAAAATGACTAATTTGCACTTGAACTGGAAATTTCAAATACCAAAAATTTCAAATTGCCAGTAGATTTACATTTGTTGAAGTATAAAAAAATAAAAATAAAATAAAAAAATAATTATGATAAAAAGAATATAATAGTACTTAATAAAGAATATAATGGTAAAAGTGTTCTAAATGTGATGGTGCCAAGTACAACTGAGTTGACAGGTTAAATGGTCTCATCTTTGTCGGTTATCTTTTTGTCAACAAATACTAAGGTTCAGTTTATTTTGTAATTTTTGTTAAATACAAGTTTATTTGATTTGTTAATAAAATGTAAAATTCTTAAAATAAATAATTATGATAAAAAGAAGATAAAATATTGGAGACTGAAACAGTGAAATCTGTGTCCCTTCAGAAGTCAAAAAAACAAAACAAAAAAAAGCAAACAAATGCAAATAAAATTACAAGACAATAAGATATATATATCTATAGATTAGTGAGCATTTATTTCCTTTTATCTTAATGTCATCAATTATATAAAGACATTTTAGAGGGACCAATTTACAATAAATAATATCAGTAAACAAGGAACTAACAATGTATACTTCGTCAAAAAGGGATGATATACAAATTAAGAAGCTGCAGCATATAGAGCTCTTCCAACAGCTTGTTGATTTTATTTATCCTTGCTATTTCTTGTGTAGTTAGAAAATGATAATCTTGACTGTGGCTGAAAAAAATCAAATGGTGCTCCTGGTCCAAAAGATCTTCTCGTAGAATTTGGAGAATCTGATAGCAGAGGTTCAAATACAGGATTTCTGTTTTTGGGTTGTGCTATTGACAAGGTAGAAACATCTTTCTCCATAGATCTGAGCTGAGGCTCAATGGTGGCAAGAGACAAAATTGGTCCCCCTACGCGTTCGGCCTGCTGAAGTATATTGATTTTGCTCGATTTATATGTATATCTAAAGTACTTGATGGCTAGGATCGGACCCATCCCAGCTGCAGTCATGAGCTGTATTGTAAAAGATTTAATTGTGAAATCTCGTGAACTGACAAACGAAACTAGAACAAGGAAATAATGGGATTATGTTTGCTATGTTTGTTGTTTACATTTTCAGTTGTTACAAAAATGTCACTATTTTCCCTTTTGCTTTTTGTTTACAAAAAAAACTTAGAAAGTAACAGACAACAAAATCATGTATGCATTCTTCATGAAGGGAGAAATGGAAGAGAGAAAGAGAGGTTATAATGAGAGTGAAGATCATTCCATTGATGGCAAAAGATGAAGAAAGGTACTTACAAATATTGTTATCCAATATGATGGTTGTCGGCACAACCGGAACATAATTGTATACATCCCTGACGAAGGAAGAGCACTAAAGATCCAGTTGATGACATAAAAGGCAGCCAAGTTGCCCCATATAGCAAGATGTTGCAATATTGTAAATGAACTGCAGGCATCAAACATAGGTCAAACAATCAAACCATATCATTTTTTCAGCAGGTTCAAGCAACTAACATATACTTTAAAACTGCGATCTTTTCAAGTTCTGTTACCGATTAAATTACATTTGCAACCAAGCAAAAAGATAATTATACTCCCCCTCTCTTGAGATGCTTAAATCATTTCCATTTAAGAAAGGAAACTAAAGACCTAAGCTAGTTCTTCTAATTCATTACTAACAGAAAAGCATCTAAAGATGTACTAATATTTAAGCTTACTTGGTCTCCATTGTTATTACAAAAGCCTGCAACCATATACAACCAGAAAGTGCAACCATTGAAACCTCCTCCATTTCACTCTTATCATAGGCATATGAATGTATGCTTATTATAAATACAACTACTGCCTGCAAATGACAATCAATAACAATGAGGAACTATACTGCCATAAAATGTTCCCGAAATTAAATAATAGATTTAGGGCAGAACGTTTTCTATTTTTCAAGGAACGTATTACAATTCACAACTCGAGATGATAAGCTTCTTAAGAATCAGTAATTTATAGATATTGGTTATCATTTATATAAATACTCATAAGCAACGCTTACATGGAAAAGGGATCGCCCAAACCATCCAGCAAATGTACTAGGATTTAGAAGCCTGATCCAAGACTGATAGTTAGTTTGATGTTCACCAATGAAGTTGTTATGTTCAGCACAAGTTAAATAACATGTTTACACTTTGGTTTGTTAAAAAGGATTTTCAGATGTAATAAATTTGTATTGCTGTCATAAAATGCAGCTACAGATATATATAAAAATAATGAGAAGGCTTGGTAGAATTTAAATGTGAGAAAAATAGCAGCAAAAATGGCAAACCTTCCTGCTTGGCAGTAGAATAAAATTTGAGGATGGTGGAGCACAGTTTCCTCACTAAGATCTTTGTCAAGCACACTTACCAGAACAGGAACACTAGTATAGAAAACATTATAAGCCATCAAGCTAACAGAATTGAAGAGGCTGGTTCCAGAGACACCTGAAATAAATGAAAAACTGAAATACAATAACTTGTCAGTACCTTAAAAGTTTGAGAATAGAAAGAAATTGAAATGTACTTCTCTTGCATTGCAACATTCGTAATCAAACAAAGATAGAGAGAAAAGAAAAATAACATGTTGTTAATGTTTCCTTTTTTGGAGCCATTTGTGTGGGTTTTTGTGTACTTTCATAATAAACAATTACCCTGGACTTCTTGCTAGGGCATTGTTGTGTATGTATGCATACAATTATTAGAACTTTTTGTATTAGGCTTATTGATCAGACCCATAGTTAGAGCTTGTCTATATATTGAGACCAATGCTTGTACTCTTGATACAATTGAATTAATATTCAGAATATTTTTCTACATGCATCAATATTCGAAATAATTTACTGTTTAATGATGAAAAGAAAAAGGAAGGCCACTGTTGGTAGAAAACTCACAAGATTTGGATGAAGCATAACAATAAGGACTTGTAGAATGAATATTGGGAGAGAAATGCTGTACGGTTGTATGAATACCGGCCATGGACCAAAATTAATCTCTTTAGGAATCTAAACTCTGCAAATTAACAAAAGAAACATAATATCATTACTGAAATTTAGTAGTTGTGCAGATAAAACATAAAAGAGAAGCCGCCAATCTGCCTCATACTTCCAACCAGAGAAAAAAAAAAGCCTTCAAAAGAGTGAACCATTTACAAAGGCTTACTTCCAATGCTGTAATCAGCTGCTCTTGCTGCCTGCAATCCTTCTCTGCCACTTATGCCCACACCAATATCTGCTTGTTGTATCATCCTTACATCATTTCCTCCATCACCAATTGCCAATGTTCTATAATCACATGATTTTAATATCTGTACAAGCTGCATCAAATAGTGGTATACAAGTCACACCAATGCCGTAATTTTTTGATAAATTAACAGAAACAATACAAACAGCAGTATTATTTGGTCAGACCCGCCAAGAGGAAAACAAAAAAATAATTGGTCTTGTCTTGTCCTTCATCTTCTAATAAGTTAGTTAAATAGAACCAAGATAGAACAAGCCAAGAATATAACAGAGAATAGAAACTTAGAAAAAATGAATGTAAAATATAGCTTCTTAAAACAAGACCGGGCAACATAATTTTATACACCGGTACTGTTGTAAAAAAAACACCTGTGCTTTTTGCGACGGTGTCACACGACAGCATATAGCAGTCCTTGACAATACTGCCAGCTCAGTGAAAGCTTTGCGGTAGTGTTTAAGTGCTATCTCAAGAGCCCATCCATCAACAACAAAAGCCACATCCTGATTGATGGAGCAGAACAATGAAAAGATTAACTTCAAAATCAAAACCTTTTAAACTATCCTGCTCTGAATTATACTTGTTTACTAAAAAGAATGTTCTATTCCGAGCACCGCAATGAATGCATACAATACAAGAAGCATTTCACAAGATTTTATTATTACTTAAGATTGGAAAACAAATTTCGTAAATACGAGAAAGACAAAGAGTACCACGAGCAAATAATAACATATCCTCCAAGGTCCAAAACAAACCACAAAACTCAAAAACCAGAATGAACAATAAAAAGAACACCAAGTAAGCGAAGCTTCCCAATCACAGGATTCTAAATTGATACAAAGTAAGCGTACCTTGGGCTCTGAGGTAGTTATCCGCATTGTACGAAGCACTCTTTCTAAACTTCTACAAACTTCATCTTCTGTTTTTCCATCAATTAGTAGAAGCTGACCCTTCGGTTCTATGAATTCAAAGGGGAGGAAATTGAAAAAGGCTCTGGGGTATGACAGCCATAAATAAAAGAAAATAAAAAACTCCAAAGAAAAATGCATGACATTGATTGAACAATAGTAAAAATTAAAGCAAACTGAACATCCTCACACATCCAAGCTCTTCAAAAATGAGACTACAAGAGCGGCCTTCAGGTAAATTAATGTTGAACCTAGTGCGTTTATCTATGTTGATAGCCCAAGCTGTGTACTAGAAACTTCAATTCATTATAGGATTTGTGATATTTTCAAAACATAAAAGGTTTTCTAGATATGTTTTGAACTCTTCTCAATTATTCAATTGTTGTTAGACAGTTTGAATTAAGGATACAAATGTATACTTTTCCTGGGGTTATTAGTTGGACGCTTGAACTTCAATTCATTAGGATTTAAAAACTGTCTTGCGATGCTTAGTACAGCATAACTCACCTTTGTCATACCCTAGACCCTTTAAAATTTCAAAACTCAAGTCAGAATTTTTTAATGAGATTTGTTTCCCCAAAATAAGAACAGTCTCAAAAACTTAATTTCTGTTTTAAATATTAAATTATTCCTTGGAATAATAAACAAACAAAGATGACAGACAAGAAGTAAAAAAGCACATATCCAATCCGTATAAAGGGGGGAGCAGGGATCCTCTCCATTTTCTAAACGAAATGAAGAGCTCAATTACTATAGCTTTGTGTATAAAGCCACATAAATACTTAATATATGTCATATGTCTTAGAAATGTGTTGTTTCCACATAACTCAAGTGTTCTTTGAGGGGTATGTATATTACCGCAAAAGTTTATAATGTCTTCATTTTATATGTAATTTGATTTTTAAAACAGTTTATTTTTAAATTAATCATTTCATATATGCTATTCATTCTTTTTGGCTATCCCAGTTTAAAAAATCTACTCCACCCCTGCCACGGTTAAGGAATTAGACAGGTTTACCACTTAGAAGCTTCTCCTCAAATAAATGAGACAAAAGGAGATCTGTGACGTTAACATTTGTTTCTACATATAATAAGAGAATGGTAGGGCAACCATAGATCATATTGAGACTCTTATGTAGCTTGATTCTCTGAACAGACACAATAAGGGTACTATTTACATGACAGAGAATAAAACTACAATGTTTGCATGATCGCTAATGTGCACTACCTGGGGAAATAAAATTACATGACAGGGCAATTTGTATTGCAGTATTCTGTTTGTCTCCTGTTAGCATCCAAAAATTTATTCCAGCTTTCCTTAGTGTTTCTATTGTTTCAGGAACTCCATCCTGAAAGATATCAAATAAAAAAGAAATGATGGCCATCACATAAACACAAGGGAAAGTCCTGCTTTAATTTTTTTCCCTTTATCCCTTTAACTATCTAAAATAGATAGTTTTCAGTAAAATAATAGGATTTTATAATTATTATCTTAAATCAGATAACAAAAACAAATGTAAGGACTATCTAAAAGTAGATTGATATCAACAAATACAGCATATTCACCTGTAAGCGATCTTCTATCGCCGTAACACCAAGAATTTCCATGTCATGTTCTACTCTTTGGCAGACCTCGGCTACTCTCCACTGTAAAGTATATTAAACTAAGAAGACAAGTTCTTATACATCATATAAAATCAGTAAAAAGTGTCTTCTTTACCTCCCTATCAACCAAAGTGCTACTGGCTTCTTTAAACATCAAAGACCAATCTTGATATTCATCTTTCTTTAACTCACGCCAAGCCAAACATAGTGTACGTAATCCCAAGTGAGCATATTGTTCCACAGCTTCAATGAAGTGACGGGTTTGCTGCCCTGCAGTAAGTAATGGTGTCAGTTGTAAAACTAAATAACTGCTCAACAAATGCAGGCATCAGAGAAATTACATTCTAGGTAATCCATTAGTTGTTTCAGTTCAGTTTTGAAATTTTTATCAGTAAAATTGACCTGAAAGTTTGGACAAAATCCAAACAGATCAAAGCAATGTTTTATGACGAAACCCATTATAATTATTTGAACTTAACTGGTTTGCTCTAGATTTGATTTTTGCAACTTTTGGCAGAACTATTTGCATTGCATTATTATGTAAAATATAGCCAAAAATATAAGTATAGATATAAAGTATGTTAGGCATAGTTATTGTAAATGGTGTGGGGGTGTGTGTGCGCGCACTCGTGATATAGAATAGATATACAAACATGGGAATATTCATTGGTAAGTTAGGCAGTGATTAGAAGTCCAAATCAAATATTTAATTTTGTGTTTCACTTAACCGTGATCAGTTACCTCAGTTTTAAAGCAATCCAATTAATCTAACTTATACGATAAAGTTTGATTGGACTTGGATTAGATTGCCTTTGTAAAATCCATGTAAACAAGGTCACAGAAGGAGCAGGAACCCGTGTAATATAGGTCAGATTGAAAGGAAAAAAAGGAAAAGATTAAAATAACTGAGAAACATTTAGCATCTGTATTTGGTAAGGATATAACAAAGTGGTTCCAAGTTCTAACAATATGGCATGAGAATTAAATCTTGATAGCTCACTTCCTACTCGTCTGAAACCACTTTAACTGGTCCCAAGCGAGCATTGCGCCGATTCATATGAATTGAAGAAAATTATAATGAAGTTGGAGGAGAAGGTGCTATCAATCAGTCGTAATATAAATTGAAAGAAACACCCTATGTAAATAATATGTGATTCTCTTAAAATACAAATAAGCAAAAAAGAAAACAGAAAAAACAAACCAGCACGAGCATATGGAAGAATAGCTTCATCTGCTCCTTTTGACAGGAGAAGGATCTTTCCATTTTGGCAATCTTTCAACACTACTGACATTCTTTTCCTATCAGAAGTGAACTCTAAGATCTCCAGGACTTCATACTGAAGTATAGTAGTGTTGAACTTGACTTCTGAAATATTAAAGATCGTGATTATATGAGCCCAAGTAGCCAACTAATTAGCTGTGTTTCCAAAAGAAATAGCAAGTAAAATGTACCAAGAATGTTTCCACTTTTATTGAAGAAAATCATATGCAGCTGAGCTGCAGCTTGAACAAGAGCATCTTCATCCTGAGATTGTGCCTTATACAGGATATCTCCAGTTTTGCTATGTACAACAGTACCAAAAACAGGTATGAAATTTAAAACGTTTATTCTCAAGGTTTAATAAAATTGTATTAACTAAGAAATATGCCAGTTTTGACAGTTTTCATATCTGTGGCCTAGCAATGATGAAGGCAGAATCACCTTCGTGTAGGTATGACAGTATTACATATCGCCATAATTGTAACAAATAGTACAGCATCAGAAGAACCACTGGAAACAGCATTAAGAAGCTCTACATCTGCATATCATATCACAGGATGTCATATATCATGCAGGGAAACTTGCATTCCAAAACATATAGCATATCATAGGATCATTAATCGGGCAGGGAAACTTGCATTCCAAAACAAATATCTTCACACAACATTCAGGGATCAAAGAAAAATATCAATGAGTACAAGCATAAATCTATATAATTTATAGAATCTTTCCCGTGCTACAATCACTCCATGCACTATAAATGCATTTCTATAAAAATCAGGATTCCATCTTGACCATGTCAGATGATATTAACGCCCATTAGTTGAGAAACCCATTATTGTACTTCCATTAATCACAGTTCTTAAATAAGAAAACTAAGACTGGTGAACTAAGGAAACGTTTGGACCAGATAATGCTAGTCCTTCTGAATGCTTAGGGCAAGCTCTGCTAATTAATGTTTTCCATATTATGTTATAACTTATATATACCAGAATCAAATAATGATCAAATGCATTATAGTAGCTGCTTAACCATGTAAGCTTAAAATTTCTTTTCAATTTATTTCCAGTAATGAAAAAGGGTTCTAATACAGTTATTATGTAACATCGATACAAGTAAAGAGTTTCACCAGCCACACCTTTCAATGCATCTCCATTATCATTTCCATAGAAAATGCCACTAATACAACATCTTCTAAATATCATCTTATTTTCAGTCAGGGTGCCTGTTTTGTCTGTCAAAATGTACTCTACTTGTCCAAGGTCCTCGCTTATCGCTGTACTGTCACATATGACAAACATAACTCAAAAAAATGTGTTAAAAATTCCAATTCATCAAAGCAATTAGGAATCAGGATCCTGCAGCCACTCACTTTGTTGCATGAGATGGAATGCTAGTCTCGAGGTCAATCATTTGATGGTCCCAGTCAATAAACTTTGCATACAAGCTCTTCATTAAATCCAGAGATACCTGCCAGAGATGCAACAGTTGACTATATCAACCTTAGATATGGTCACACTTAAAATAATCCAAAATTAAATAATAACTAGTATTAGCATTACTCCAAGATAATAACTTCTATAAGAACATAAGTTTTGATGACAACCTTTTATTTAGTTAATAAGGTCATCAATGTTCTTCCTGCAAAAAACTACTACTCAATTTTTTTTACTACGGTTGTTTTTAAAAATGTGAATATAAATGAATAGCATGTTGAACTATATAATGGAATGCAATGCCAAAACATATTATCAGTAGCTCACCTTAATTGAAATGGGTATCATGATAGAACAAAGAAGCTCGAACCGCAAAGGGATTACCAATAACTCATACCAAGGGCCTTCATGAGGGTAAAGAACATACCATTGCTTGAAAAAGAAAAGGGAACAAAACATGAGGGTCTATATACATGACTCTAAAACATAACATTTCAAAACATGAGAACTTCAAGAGAATAATTACAAGCAGGTAGTGAAACATGGCACAAGTCTAAACATCCGTAAAATGGGGGAAAATATTTGAAAGGTACAAAAGAAAAATGAGGCAAAGGAGTATGATAATTAAATCCTAAAAAAAGTAATAATAAATAAATAAATAACTTGATTAAGAGTTCAATTTACAATTTAGTATATATTTCGCGTGGAACAGAAAGGAAGCAACAAGCAAGCCAATCTAGTCTTACTAGAAACAAAAATTTAAAAATTGCAAAGGATGCAAGCTCCCTCCGTGGAAGCACAACTATATGATATGAAAGGATAAAATAGCAAGCACTACAAAGATTTCAAAAATGACTTAACAAATCCTAACAAGTATAGGATTTGACATAATTGGATAAGATATTGAGTTCCGAATTGTGACTTACTTTCCTTGCTTCTGTGTCCTTCCAAACATTACCCGCTATGCCAAGAACCAATACAACAACAATTTGGAATATAAATATAGCACCAGTCAACTTGTCGATCATGGCATCCATAGCAGTGAGCTTTGGTTCTGGGATACCCCTACTCATGCCCAATTTGGTTTCATTTCCTGAAGAAAAGAAAACACCAGATACAAATTCAAACTTGCTGAAAAAGAATATGGTTCTAAGAGTTTAATATGTAATACATGAACTTGCCTGTATAGATAGCAACTCCACATGCCCACTCAGTATTTCTCAAGTAACAAGACTGAAGAATTGTGTTTTTAATGGTTAACGGGCATACATCATTATCAATAAAGGGGGGGTACAAACGCATGTTTGCATCAAATCTTCTGACGTCTTTATCTGGACTGGGACACTCAATTACACCCTAGATACATGCACACACACAAAGAACAAGAGTAAGTAATAAGTGGTCCTGCATAATTATTAATTACTATTGATAGTAAACTTCAAACAGTTCTACAAAATATAGTTCCTACAATAAATCAAATCTTGCCTTAATTTTGTGTAATAGTTCAACATCAATTCCCATGCAAGCAGAAGGTATGACCCGCGTCTTTAAATCAGTTTCACCGTCCAGTGCAGAAGTCTGAACATAATGCCAAATCATAAGATCGTTGAAATGTATATAATGAATTGTGTTGTTGTTCTTTTCCAAAAATGAGGAAATAGGAAAGAAGAATACTGGAGGAATGTTTACTACAATGCCACACACATGTAGAAGATCAGTTTTAGCATGAATCATGATGTAATTACCTCTATATAGCAAACTCCTTGAGGATCAGATGTGCCAATCAAAACAAGGTCACAAGGCACTTCATCATTTTCACGTAGCCATATTATATTACCTACATGAATATCTTGGGCTTGAATCTGCAACACCGTCAATGAAACCCCCACCAAACACTAATTAGATTTACTGATTAAAAGGAACACGATAATCATTTAAAATAAGAAGATCACATCACTCTTACTACCTTCAACATTGATACAGGGAAACACCCATACATAATTCCTTATATTTCAAAAACCCTAACAGATAGCTTATGCAAAGGACTTGGATTAAACTCAGAATAAATCATACAGAAATGAAAGAGTAACAATATCTTCAAAACAAATCAACGGATTATCCCTTTATAAACTAAAAGACAAAATGAAGGATAGTTATTGAAGACCAAGTGCAAGAAACAGTAAGCTAAGTTCTTTTTAACTGGTTTTACTTCTGAGTTGCTCTGTTTTCAGCTAAATTATATTTACTTGAGTAAGCTAAGAAACAAAACAAAAATATATTTAAGAAAATAAAATATGGTTCTTACAAGATTTTTGACACCTTTCCTAACAACCCATACTTCCTTCTGATTTGCCTTTTTGTCTGAAAGATATCTATTGTAATCATCCCATGCCTCTTTTGATGCAGAGACTGCAAAAATAAAGATAAGTGGACCCCATGTACTGGCAGGATTTACTGGAGTAATAAGAGGCCATAACTGCAGGCAAGCTATCAGCAAAAAGTACTGATTCATGAATCGGCTGAAAAAAGGGGAAAAATCAGATGGATTAAAGAATATTTATATTTCACTAGAAGTTTGACACAAATTTCCCACCAAAGCAAAACTGTTTTTTTAAGGAAAATATGTGTTGTTTGTAATCATTCAAAACACTCAAAAAAGATTGGTCAATGTAAAAAATTAAAATAAGGCTGAATCCATGGAATCTGAGATGAGTTCCATTAATGTCAAATTAAAATTGTTCTAATCCTCTACATTTATAAACACAACTAGTCTTTTATGTTTTACTTACATCTTCTTCACTCTTTTAAATCATGTTTCCCTAGTGCAAACTATAAGGTGCATGTCCAAACAGAGGATCCAATAAAATGAATTTCCCTCCTTGCTATCAAATGTTTGTTGATTAGTATCAGTAAACAGATATAACAGGAAATGATGTCACACTGAAGACACTAGAAGGTGTGCAAAAATGCATATGTGGGTGTGATAGAACAGAGGTATGATTTAATATGATAAAGAAAAGTATTTTATTAATGAATGTGAAAGTAAAATAAATTCATTCCTATCAGGGTGCATCAATGTTGCCATACTTGCAATGTAATGAAATGAGTAATAAGCAGCATCAGAAGAAAGTTTACCTGAATTGTTCCCATAAATTTTTTGGAAGAAAGTTCAATAAAGTATATTTTCTATTTGATATTCGATTATCACAGTAAAGATCGTGAGATGACTCATCATCATCGATGTAAACATAACGCTTCATTGTCAAATTCTGAGCATCTAATTGTGGATAGATAGATATCCTCTACACCTCCATAGCAATGCTCAAAGAGAAAAATTTCTAAAAAATCTCAAACAGTCATATTCTGCAAGCAACAAAGAGATAAAAATCAGTTTCAAATATAAATCACAATGTCATGAAAAATAGATGCAGGGGAAGAATATCATTGAAGATGATTATAAACCGGGCATCTCAATAAGTAGCCTACATGATCATATTAAACCTTGTTTGGATTGACTAATGAACTCCTCATTTGAGTTTATATGACATAAGCACAGGCCAGAGTGTTTGGGAGAACTTATAACAATAGTCTATGACATATACACAAGTTGTTTCCAACTTATTTTAATATGTTCTCTCAAATAATTTATACCAAAAACAACCAAAAAATTACCATATTTTCTCTTTTGCTATTCTTGACTTATCTAAATGCAAAATGCTATAAAGAATTCAGTATACAACTTAGGATATATTATGAAATGACACTCACTTGTACCTAAATCTAATTAGACAAAAGGCGAACTCAATGACGAGATTCATGGATACTTTAACATACAAAAAGAAGTGAATAATCTCATAATCAGATAAATAAGAGGAAAAAGTCTCAATCAATAAACATAGGTTTACTTAGTCCAACAAATAAACAAAATCACCAAAACTTGAAAGATGAAAATATCTTAGTCTAAGCATACACACATCGTAACATTTTAATTTGAACTTGACTGCTATAAATAATAATTAATAATTAATCAATTACACGAGTAATACCAAAAGAACTATTCCAGCACTCATATCAACTAATTACTAATTGCAAACTGTTGTCAAGGTCGCGATCCAGATCGTGGAATCGCACGATATTGCGATCTCAATCACCTCCACCGATCTGGATCGCAAGCAAGATCGTTTTCATGCGGAAATCGCGGTGAAATAAATTGATCGTGTGCTATAAATACGTAAATACCTGGTAGCTCTGAATCCTAACAGTTAGTCTTTTGTAAGATCGGCGGCGCTTCTCACCGGAAAAGGAGAAGAAGATGCTCTGTTTATGTTTCGTGCTCTCTTTTCATTTTCTCTGAGCTTTCATTTTCACTTTATTTTTATTTTAATATTGTTTATTAATTACTAAGTTATACACAGTAGTTGTACCGTACACGCTCAGAGTAATGTTTATTTCTTTGTACTCTTAAATTTTAATAATAATATAATATTATACTTATTTCAAATTACACAAAAGTAGCTGTACTTCATAAAATTGAAACGATGTTACTGTTATCTTTCTTTCTACTCCATAACTTATGTTAACAAGACAAATAGGATTTATATTTCTTTGTACTTATTATTATTTTTAATTGGTTTTATTTGTATAATATAAGATGCTACAAGTAGTTGCACTTCATACAATATAAAATTACACTTTTTACGAAAATATAATTTTAATATAATATATTTATTATTTTGTTTTATTAGTTTTAAAAAAATCTTACAATTTTATATTTTACGATCTTTTTATCCCTTATTTATATTATAAAATTAATTGCATAAGATCTTTTACGATTTTATATTACGATTTTAATGTCTCCTCTCAATCTTATGTAAGATCTCGATTCTAACATTACATATATCTATTCCTAATGTACTTTCACAAAGAATAAGCGTAAGACTTCACAAATTTCTTGCATATTTGCAAGAAAATTACAAATGTCTTGTCCCATTAAAGATTGTTTTATCCAACCACAAACTTCTTCCCTCTTATAAACAACACGGTCTAAGTCATACACAAAACTGATGAAAATTGCAGATCGTCAACCTAAATCTCGAGGAGTAGGAAAACTTTAGATATTTGAGACTTTCAAGACTTGGGTTTTGAAGGGTACCCCTTCACTTGATCTAATGGTAGACATGGTTCAGACAACATCCAATACAAATTCGGTAGAGTCTTTTCATCTTTGTCCTTTAAGGAAATATTTTCTCTCACCAAAGCAGTCCATTTACCTCGTTATAGGTCTAATCACGCAGCTATGCGTATTGTGATTGAGAATGAGTATTAGAGAGAGAGAGAGAGAGAGAGAGAGAGAGAGAGAGAGAGAGAGAGAGAGAGAGAGAGAGAGAGAGAGAGAGAGAGAGAGAGAGAGAGAGAGAGAGGATAGTACATTTATTCAGGTTTGAAGAAATATGGTCTATGGATTCTAGATGCGAGAATTTGGTCAGACAACTAGGGAGCTGGCCTTCAGTGCATTTCACCCCAAAAATTTAAGTCTTTTCGAAAAATTCAGATCACTTTCAAGGATTTAAGGATGAGGAATGTGGCTAGGGAGATCAAAAGAATTGAAACTCTCCTTCTGGTGGATATCATGTGGTCTACTGATTCTGAGAAAATTAAAATGTTCAAAGCTCTGTAGCAACAAAAAAATAATTTACTGAGAATTGAAGAGATTGTGTGGAGACAAAGAAGCATAGCAGTTTGGCTTAAAGATGGAGATCATAATACGAAGTTCTTTCATAGCAAAGTGGATCAGAGAAGGAAGACAAATGTAATTAAAAAGATGAAGGATGAGACAGTAAAATGGTGGCGAGGTCAGACTAACTTCGAGCTAATTATCATTAAATAGTTCTCAAATATCTTCTCTTCCTCCAACCCTCTAATATTCAGCGAATCTGTAGCAACATTAGCGGTAGGTTGCCTGAAAAACACAAGATCGGATGTACTTATCCTTTTACAAAAGAGGAGGTGAAAGAAACAATTTTCCAAATGCATCCCACAAAATCCCTGGGACCAAATGGTTTTCCTACCTTGTTTTTCCATAATTACTAGACTAATGTGGGTAGAGATGTCACCTCGAGACCCATTACCCATTAGACTTTTGCCCTAGACATTCTCAACCATCATAAAGACCCATGTGATATTAAAACTACTTTCATTGCTCTTATTCCCAAACAAAAGATTCCAAGCTCCCCTCAAGACTTTATACCTATTAGTCTGTACAACGTAGTCATGAAGGCAATTACGAAATCAATTTCCATTAGGTTGAAAGAAATCCTACCATAAATCATTAATGAGGAGCAGAATGCGTTTGTAAAAGGCATATTAATCACAAACAACACCCTGATTGTTATGGAATGTTTACATAGGATGAAGAACAAGAAGAAAGAAATAAAAAGTATTATGGCTTTGAAGTTGGACATGTTAAAAGCCTATGATAGAATTGAACAAGAGTTTGTCACAGGTGCTCTTGTGGTTATCAGACACTCAAAGTATTTGGGCCTCCCTGTAGTTTGTGGTAGGTCGAAGAAAGAAGTTTTCTCCCTGGTTATCGACAAAGTTTGGAAGAAAGTGAAAGGCTGGAAGGAAGGTTACTTTTCTAGAGCGGAGAAAGAGGTCTTTATAAAGCGATTGCCCAATCAATCCCAACGTATATAATGAGTTGCTACAAGATTCCTGAACACTGATATAATGAAATTGAATCGATGCTGGTAATATTTTGGTGGGAGACTAAAAATGGGGAAAGAAAGATCCATTAGATGAGTTGGGAGAGATGTCACAAGCTAAGGGTGTGAGTGGCATGGAATTCAGAGGAATCATGCATTTCAACATCATCCTCTTGGGGAAAAATTTCTAGAGATTAATGCAAGACGATGATTCCCTCTTCAAAAGATTTTTCAAAGGAGGGTATTACCCTAGGATTCACATATCAGAGGCTTCTTTGGGTTTCAAGCATAGTTATGCTTGGCATAACATCCTAAGTGAAAAATAGGTTGTCTCTAAAGGCTCTAGATAAAAAATAGGTAATGAAAAGGGTGTTCAAATCTGGATAGAAAAACGAGTCCCAACAATCCCATGATTTAAACCTCTTAGTTCTAATAGAACACTAGATCCTGATGTCAGGGTCTGCACCTTAATTGACAGGGACTTGGGAAAATGGAACATCGAAGCTCTCAAAGCCAATTTCAATTGCAAGGATGCACAATAAATAACCAACACTCATCTCTCCCCCAGGTTACCAAATGACAAGCTGATTTGGCATTTCAAAAAGATGGCAAATATTAAGTCAAAACTGCCTACATCTTGCTTGGTGAAGTCGATAGAAGCAGCATACCATGTCTATCAACAAGTATTGATTTTTTAGTGTGGAAGAATTTATGGAAGACTATATTCCATCAGCGAGTAAAGAGTTTCACTTGGAGGTTTTCCAAAAACATCCTCCAAACTAAGTGCAACCTCAACAAGAAAGGAATCAGGTTAGATGTTTGGTGCCTTTTTGTCATCTCTCCCCTGAAAAATCTCTTCATCTCTTCGTGCATTGTGATTTATCCAAGAGAGTTTTCTTCCATTTTGTACAAATGTGTTAGAATGGCTCTCAGAATCCCTGAAGATTAGAGATAGTTACTTATCCTAATTGGCGTGTTCTGGGTTATGCAAAATCTGGCAAGCTATGAATAAAGTGGTGTTCAAGCAAGAGACACGAGATCCTCCGGCTATTGCCCATGATATCTAAAACTCTATTCTAGAATTCAATAGGGTCAAAAAGATATGTTAGAATAAGGAGGATGTGCTGCAAAATGTGATTTCTATTAATGGTTCCTGGATTATTCAATCTCATGTAAGGTGTTTTAATTATGGAATAATGTCCTCGCGTTGTGTCGTTAAAAACTCCAATGTTGACAGGTCAATGGTTAGCATTCTAACGCCCAAGTCAATTCAAGATTCAAGATGGGTAAAGTGAAATTGGAGATCAGAGGTTGTGTACCTTCTTATAATGTGTGAGTTGTTTTTATATTTTGAGTTGAGTAGAGTGGCCTTGAGAGGGATTGGACCGTGGTCACTTAGGCCTTTTGGCCAGTTCAGAATAGTTCCCCCCAAGACTTTGCCGTTAAAGGATTCGAGTAAGCCTTAAGTATCATTCACTGACCACTATGTTGTAGTCCGGTGTGAAATAGAACTAAATCGCCTGGGATTGATTTTTGAAAAAGCAACGGGGAAGAGA